GATGTGTATAAGAGACAGATTATATACCTTCCAAATCACCCTATTTCCTTCTCTGATAAGTTGGTCTATATATTGTCTAGTTTTTCCAAGAGCAATTGACCATTGTTCACTATGTTTAAGAATTTTCCTTACCTTTAAGTCATAAGTATCACCTTCTATTTGTTGAGTTAGAGTTCGTTCATATGTAATATGTTGATGTGCTGGTATTTTCTTCCTTAAGTCTTGCTTCTTGATTCCTTTTGTGCGTTCCCATTCTGTTATTAAGTTGCAATGTGATTGCCAAATGATTTTATAAAATTCATTAATAAATATTTCTAAAAAAAGAGTAGTAATTGTTAGTGTAGCTTTTTCTGACTTAAAAATAAGCTTGATTTCTCTATATTTTTCTTTAGGAAAAAAAATTTTTAGCATTAAATGTACGAAGGGAATAGGTAACTCTTGATTAGGATCTATTGTATGGCTAAAAAAATTTCTATTCCACAAAAGTAATAGTTGTGTATCCTCTTGATTTAGTTGGAGATATTTCTCTTGCGAAAGAAAGTCTTTAAGCATTTGATCACATTTATGCATAGTGTTGTTCACCACCATTAACCATTTGTCTCTAAGTTGCTAACAATAGATTATGTGATCATCGTCTTCATTTTCTTCAAGACACATTCTGCACTTTACATCTCCATATAGATCATATCTCCTTTCTTTCATAATCTCTAAGTTGGTAGCAGATTATTTGTCAGTTTCAGGTGCTTAATAAATCTGTCATTTATTGTTGATGTTGTACAATTAAGAACTGTGTTTTTTTTAAGTAATTCCCATGTGACTTTTTCTTCTATCACACACGTTGTGTCTTGAAAAATTGTTCTGTGTGCACGATTAAAGGACTATGCTACCTCTAGTACGGATTCACATATATTATCTATAAATTTTCTAATGTGTCTGTCAACTCTTTTACCATCCCAATATATATCATATTTTAAGTCCTTTTGTTGTGAGTCATTAATTGTAATGCAAGTTAGTCTTTCTGTATCATTCTTAGCCACTCTGTCTGCTTCTTCATTGCCTTTGATTCCTGAATGCCCTTTTACTTTTGTTAGTTTTAACTCTAAGTGTTTGCTATCAACAAAGTTAATTATGCTGCTGACTATACTGTGGTTATTACTTTTACACCATACTCGTATTTTATTTTTTCCATTTGTCAAATTTATTCTTGTGTGATTAATACTGTCTATTGCAGCTTGAGAATCTGTAAAAATGTTTACTCTCTATCTTGTTTGTAGGACAAGTATAGCTGATAGGATGGCTCCTAGTTCTGCACGTGTGAATGAAGGCCATTCTGTAATTGAGCTGCTACATTCCAGTATCACCTCCTCTTTATCATTCAGTATCACCCAACCTGTGCCCATATGCTTTGTAAAGGTGTTTGAATTCGCATTAAACCGAGTTGTCAATGAACCATTAGTATATATGTTGATCATGTCAGTTGAGTTGAACAGTGATCTTAAAAGATGCAATATCGATGTGTGTTATATCACAGCTTCCTTATTTAATAACGTATTTTGAATGAGGGCTGTATCATAATCGTGTATTTGTATGAGACCAGGTATCCATTCTGGGATATATTGTTTCTCAGGACAATTTCTAATTTCCAGAACATCTTTAATACTTTTAGTATTGGGAATGTTTTTGCAACTAGAGATCCTATTTATGCAAGCTAAATCTGAATGGTTCCTATTAAAATAGCAGCCGTGACTTCCTTTGTTGACCTTTTTATCATTTAATGCGCAACCACTGCAACGTTGTATAATTATTACTCCATTGTCATCTCTCTGGTCATCAACATTAGTAGTCCAATACTGCATTGTATGCTTTCCTGACTGATTCTTTTTGTTAATTTGTCCTATTACTAGCGTGTGATCCTGTTGTGTATAAACAAACTCCTTTTTTCTGCCATCTGTGGATGGAACTTTTTTTGTCATTTTAATTGCTTGAAGGTTAATTAAAAATTCTCTGTCCATTCCTGACTCGCTTTCTGAGTTAACGGACTCCACACTTATCTTACAAAAGTCTTTAAGTTGAGGTAACTGTTGCACTAGGCTTAATAGCGTGACAAATCATTTCAGAGTCCTTCCTCTTGCTTGTCTCCTATTAAAATCGCATATTTGCTGCCATGTGACTGTGTTCGATGCATCATAATTCAAGAGTTGCAAAATTCTGTGTATGGAGAGCGTCGCTGCTTTTCTTATTATGAGTTCCTTATCTTTTTTCTGCAGTTCTGGCGCTTGTTTGTATATGAAGTCTCTCATGTTTGGACTGATTATTGGTATGTTCCATTCTTCACTTTCCGTTAACGGATGGAATTTAAACAAATAGTCATGTGCTTTCCTTGCCATGTTGTACGCATGATTGTTCAACATCTTGTTCGGGACTGTGACGTCGGGGTTGATCATTAAGATACACGATGTTATGTTCAACGTTAATTGTGCTTTTTTTAATCTCATTTTGAGCATATCTGCCTGCTTAGTTTGTGCATTTAGAGCTACTAGGAGCTCTGTAATCTGCGCGGCTATTTGGTTTCTCCATAAGTTTTTTAACTTGCCTTGTGCTGAATGTAGGAGAATATTATCGTGACAACTAGTAGGGAGTCGCGCTTTATGTTTGACTACCTTCATAACTGGTCTGAAGGTTTCTTCGTATTTTTTATCCTCCCAGATGGTGGTTTTTAATCTGTATTCAAGCCTTGGGAGTAAAACGGTATTTATAATGTATATTATCTATGCGTGAGTTATGTGTTTACGTCTAATGGCCCCTAGTATTGTTAAAATTTCTTTCTTCACTATCAATTCTGTATGTTTGTCTCCTTTATCTGCTTTGAACCACACTCCCAAAATTCGTATTGCATCTGAACCTTTATTAGCAAACACTTTGTCTTTATTTTTTCCTATTTCTATAAACCTTTCGTTTTCATTGCTATCTTCTGGATTTACAACTATAATTTCAGATTTACCTCCATTTATCTTAATATCGTTAATGTCAAAGAATTCATTAGCAATTAGTGATATTTTTGTTGCTTCGACTTTACTTTTAGCTATCCACTGTGTGTCATCTGCGTATGCTAAAGCGGCAGTTCGTATCTTTATACAGTCAACTCCCTCTATAGTCACTCCCGTTATAGTCACATTCTACTATATAGTCACACCAGTTGAATGTTCAAAACACTTTATTATTAAAATCTATCCTATATAGTCACAATCTATCTATAGTCACTATCACACCTATC